AAATTTTGCAAATCATAACTTTTATTTTTTTCCTGAAACAAGTATAAACAAAATACAATTATTAGAAATGAAATGTGTAATTATATAAAATGTGTAATACTATTAATCTCAGCACATATTCTCTGTTTTTCGCTCACAAACTTTGTAAAAATTTTCTTTAAGTTTCAGATACTCTATAAAAATTCTAACTAATGAAAGTTCCAGAAATTATTTACATGATCATAATACAGAGAAAAAATATTTTATGTATTTACAAAAAATTTGTTTAGAATAAAAAATGAAAAAAAATTGTATTTTTTATAATTAAAAATAGAAAAATAAATAAAAAACTTTAGGAAGGTTCAACGTTTAATATACCTTTAATAATTATATTAATTAAGCTCAATCTATTTGCATGTATAATATGAGGCAAAAAAAAAGACGTTTATCTTGAAAAAAGAAAAAATATTATTGATTAATCTTCAAAATAACTTCTTCGTAAGTTTGAACACTCTATTGAAGAAAGTAATTATTGTTACCCTTGCATTAGATTTAATTATTGTTTTATTACTATGTGGAAAGAAATGATTTTATTGAAATATCTATAAATTTAACTAAGAACAAATGAAAATAATTTTGTTGTAACCATTAAAATAATTATAGGAAACTCAAGCATGAACAATACTGCAAAAATTTTTATATTCTAGCAATGTACTTGAACGTTTTATGCAATTATTTTATCAACAAAATTATTTTTTTCATTCGTATCTAAATTTTCCAATACTTCAGCAAAAACTTACTTTCTATGTAAAAAACTTAGAGACAGAAACAAGAGATTTTCTCTTCGACAAAATTTATTTCGTTAAGTACGAAGAAAACGTAACGTTACTGCTTAATAATTGAATATTTTTTTACAAGTACAGTCTCGTCATTGTTTCTCTTCGAGATTAAATTGCTTCGCCGATTGCACTCGTCGCCAATTGATATTAAGCCCTTGCCGCAGTAACAATGAGATTTTTCTCATGCTTTCTTTTGCAGACACTACCGTTCGGTGGGCGGAATAAACGCGAGAGTGAAATAAATCATCGAGAAGTGCGTGCCCGTGGGATGCACGCGCATTACCTCGAGAGGATCTCCATCGTCGAGCCAGAGTCGATCGGACGAAATAATGCGATCGAAACGTATCAAGAAGGCGGCACTTTTCAGATTGCTCAGATACAGACAGTGCGCCAGGTGCCGACAGATAACTTAGTGTATCCGAGAGTATTCGAGACGATAGGTCGACGAGAATAAAGAAAAATAGGAAGCGTACGAGAGCACATGAGACTGATCGCCATCGCGGCAATGATCGACGAGCGTAATTTCACTTCATTGGCTGTGATTTTTACTCCTAGACCAGAGGCTTGACGCGTGAGAATTGTTAAGACTGATCAAAGTAAACTGCTCAGTGACTTCACCGAGAAAGTCTGCAACATCATTCTACGACGTAAGTTGTGGGATCACACAAATCAATCATATATAAAAGCACATATATAAATATTATATTGTTAATGTAAACGTTAATTACGACCTAAGTATTGCCTGTAATTTTTTAAAAACTTCTTAATTAATCATCTCATCGAAGATAATTATCATTTTCGCGAAAACACGCGTTACTTTTCTTGCGTTCGCATTTTTGTAGCGTCGTAGAACGCATCGGTTGACGATACAAACGACAAAATTCCCTTCATGGAAAGTAAGATGCACACGTGTGAACTCGGTACCGCGTTGATAATTACGCGCGCTATGAAAGTAAATACAATTTCCCTTGCATCATAGATATATTCATCAGAACTCGGTGTGTTCCAACTCGCGACTAATCGTGGTCGATTTTCTCATATTGTTCTCTCTTTTGCCGTTATTGAAAATCGAAATATTTCAAGAAAGACTTCTCGCGAAGCGTTTCTCGTTGAGAATTTGGTCGGGATTTGCAATAACTTTAGTCACATCAAGTGGAAAAATGAAGGACTACTTGGAGGCTTGCCGAACTTTGAAGAGGAGGAATCGCCAGCATTGAGAAATTTTGAGTGGCACTTAGAAATAGTCCAATACTTAGACCGTGCAATAATTATTTCGCTGCATCGGCAGAATTAAAAGTGTCATGCCGTCGTCTTTGTAAAGCTATTTGGCGCCTCAATGAAATTGAAAAAACTTGCGAAACTTTAAAATGCTTTGTGACATCCAGAATAATAATAGATGGAGAGTAACAATTAAAAAGTGCAGGCAGTCGAGAGGAAATATCAGAAAAGAAAGCGGAAGAAGAAAAGATGAAAAGCAAGAGTTATTACGATCGAGCGAGCATTTTAAATGTTTGGATTGAAAGAGAGGAAAATTGGATTGAAAGAGAGGAACTGCAGAAAAATTGAGGAGAGGGCAATTAAGGAGGAGAGAATCGAGTAAGGACCGAATGGGAATCGAAACGTGAAAGGGTAGAAACGAATTCAAATGGATGATTCGGTTGAGGTTCAGTGTATCGCAGGAATAGAAGTGAAGAGAACAAAACGGGATTTTATTCGGTGTTTTAGTGAAAATATGTATCTGCGTAGTGATTAAAATAAAACCGAAGAAAATTTAGTTCTTTTAGACTGAAAATCAGCGATAATTAACGCAATTGTATAATTATTTAAACTAAATTTTGCGAGAGGAGCGCTGAGTTTTTCGACGTATATTAGAGAGAGATATTTTAAAGATATTTCAGCGAAATTAGACCAGAAATTGCGAAGTAATACGGATGAATATCGTACTTTAGAAAATTCGCTTAATTAAAAGTCCGCCGATTATTTTTTAATCGGTGCTTCTATAAAGTGCTGATTAAGTATCATAATAATACTATAGTAGTAGTATTATTCAGTTCCATATCAAGAATAAGCCGGACTTCCGCAATACGGGAGAGCGATAGTGAAACTCATCGAAAATTCATCCGGCGTTTTGCGCAATTCGAGGAATAAATTGCGACCAAACCAAGAGGGATCGTTGGAAATTCATTCGGCATATCAGATTCTCGCGTAGAAGCGAAGTAATTAAAGAAAACCCGTGAGAATGTTTAGACAACCACGAAGAAGGATAATTAAAAATTCATGTAACGTTTTAGCTCCTTTTTCTCTTCGTGAAAGGTGTGAAGAAAAATAATTGGCAGTCCATTGGACGTCTTAATTGACTACGAGAGAAAAAAAACATTAAGAAGGAAGATATTGGCTTTGATTCCCGGGAAGGAAGGGGCGAAATTCTAAATGATTAATATAATGAAATTAGTTTGGTATATTTGAGCGGGAATTTAAATGGTTGAATTAAAGATTCAATCGGTTACTTACACGAATTAGAAGGTACGAACGAATCGCCTTCGACAAGTCATTTGAACCATTTATATTTTATTCGATTTCGAGGGAAACATATAATGCAGTGAAAAATCGATGCGCAGAGGAAACGGGGGAGTTAAGGAAACGCGTGAGAAATGTCAATGTGAATGTGAAAAATTATTCGTAACAAAATCCAACGCGCTCGAGAGGAAGACTCGTTCGTGAAGACTGTTGAGGAAGAGAAAAACTGTCGGAAAGAAAAAGCACGGAAAACTAAAGAAATTCCAGAGCCTGTCAAACGATTCCAAGTTTCGCGGTCTTTCCGTTCGGTAAAAATCGATCATTGAGAAATAAAATCTTTCACCGGTTTGTTTTGCGCGGAAGCTACTACAGAAAATATTAATTCGATATCGAAAGTCCCTGACAGCAAATAAAACCCACCCATCTACCCACGTTCGAAAAAAGAGTGGACAGAGGATCGTCGGAAAGGGGAGGCGTGCGAAGTCATTTAGCGAAACTGATTTACGCGGAATCTACACCCTGGGAATTTTCAGTATCCCCGGCATCGATCGACTTTTGCTACGCCCTGCATTTCCGACACGTCGACAAACGATCACGAGAGATCACGAAAAGCTGCACCAAAAATTCGCTGTTCTCGCTACTCGGGGCGGAACGTGATCGTACTTCAGGAAGTCGCCGAAAAGTCAGACATCGTTTTATTTGCCCTTTTCCCACATAACGCCAGTGAATAGAAGTTCTGTGAAAAGGAGTGAGTACGAGAAGAACACCGAGGGAAAGGTTGCAATTTCCGGTCGACCACGTAACGGTAAATTCATTGCGTCGGAAGCGTAATCCTGAGGGACGAGCGCGCGTAGAGCATTCTGAATCGAGATTTCTTGTGGATGACTTAGGGCACAAACGCGCGTCCCACGGCGCTGTTCGTTAAGGATAACACTTGAGTTCTTCATCCTTTTACTCCATTTATCGGATATGATTGAAGACGATGAGAAAGTACCAGCGCGAAGAACAAAATGGAAGAATCCTGACTCGCGGCACGAATCGTAAATAGGCGAAAATGTGATTGTCAGGAGGACTTATGTTCTGTCGAGCATACGTTTTGTCACAGTGGATTATAAGGAACAGTCGACATAAGAGAGAGTGCATGAAGATCTAGTGAAGCATATATAACGCAGAAGCGAAGTGAGAAATGAAGGAATTTAATCGAAATGATAAGAAGAAAAGTAATTTTTACTACATCTTTTTCTTTCTCTTTTCATCATTCTCGAAGTTGTTAAATGAATGATGGAAGCATCTGATTTTTTCGTCTTAAGGAGCAATTATTTATACACATTCGTAATGGAGATTCTCTCGGCATGGAAAAGAGTCGGTAATTGAGAATTAAGGTTTTTTATTCGACGAAAAATCGTGAAATATTCGTTATTGAATTGTTGGAAACGTAGTCTCAGCCGCAAAATGAGCAACAAGAATTACTGATCCGATATCACTCAATGTCGAGAGAGAAGCAATAGAGAAAAATAATTTTTATTCGTAGGGATCGCGATCATAATCTGTTCGTGCAGAAGCGTTCGATCGTGCGTGTTCAAATGTGAAAGTTCAAAGCGTTCCGAAAACACCAATAAAAAGAACGTATCTTTTTTAGTGAGCCATGACTTGGAAATTGGTTTAACAGTATATTGTAAACTGTCAACTTTTCTTCTGCTAAAAAAGAACATTTTTAGAGTTCTTGATTATATCTATTATATTGCCGCGAGAGAAATGCATCAATGCATCAATCTTAGAAAACACAAGATATCTTTCATTCTGATATTTTTTGTGGAAAAAGAGTTTCGTGTACTTCTACAGAATTTGTATATTTGCAAAGCAAAAGTATCGTGGACAATTAGGACTTCTCGGAATCACCATCGATTTATATAAGGAAAATTCGCCCACAGCTTCCTGGAAGCACTTGATCGCATTTTATCAAATTAGGAATTGGGAAACGAGGTGAAATTAGAAGAAAAGGAGTATCTAACGAGTCGTTTCGACATCGGTAAAATTCGTGATAAACGCCAATCGACGCCTAATAGAGGCGACGACGCTGTTTTCAATTCCCGTCGGGATAACGTCGGTCTCTCGAGCGGAACGAGCGACGGAAAACTTCTGTCGGATTCGATTTCGTAACGGGAAGAGAAGCACCCTCGCGGGTGGCCGAAGACGGTGATAGAGGGTCGGTGGGTTACGGGGTAGATACGTGATCGTCGTGAGATGGCTTGTGCGGAGGAGTGAAAAGTGCAGTCAAAGCAGTATAGCGTGGCTAAAGCCTCCGGAAAAGAGATTGCAGGCCACTGCAAATTTTGATATATCCGCGGCGAGGGAAAAAAAAGAGAGGGAAGAAAGAGAAAAAAAGAAAGAGAGAGAGAGAGAGAGAGAGAGAGAGAGAGAGAGAGAGATGAGAAGCAAGACATATGCTGCGATAGAAGAAGAGAAACTGACAAAAATCAAGTAAGCGGTGTCAGCGCGTCAGGGGACACCAGATATATTCCCTTTCCTGTATTACTACTGTCTTTTTTTTTTAGGAAAACGCTAATGGATCGGTGGTACGTGGATCGTATGACAATACAAAACTCGATGACGGAATATTAGGGCGATTTCATCGAAATGGTTTCCGTCAAAGCTTCGACTTTCTGTGCGTTGCGTCAGCGGGATCGCGCGAGATAGTATTGAAATATTTGTAGAGTCACGCGATGATTTCATTCGATTGAAATAGTATCAAGTATAAACACGGACGAGAGAATAGTTGCGTAAAATTCGAATGTAGATAATTAAACGTATCCAGGGAAGTAACTAGGAAATTCGTGTTGTGAATTATAAAAGAGTTGATTGATTGACGTCAAGGCGATTGTTGCAGATCGTGTACTCGAAATTCGCGACGGTAGGAAAATGGAAGCAGTGACAAGTGAGCCACACAGATATCCGAAACACAAACTAGATCGTAGTTTGTTAAATTCGATAGTCTCGGCGAGCTGTCTAAAACAACGTGCTGTTTAAACGCTGCGTAACGTTAGACATCATCCGAGATGCAACACTAGCGACTGCGTGTATGCTGAGAGCGAGTGTTATCGATTATCCGGAGATAACGTTTTGCGACCCTGTTTGCGACCACGAAACTAAAGCATCGGATTGACTATCGAGCAGTGTATGATCAAGTGTTTCGGCAAGCGTGTATACGTGCACATTAACGAGCTTATCCGACCGTAATCGTGGAAATATTGATGGAAATCCACGGGAATTGGTCTTCAGTTAACGACTGCGTTTGACGAAAAATTAGAAATAATTTCTGAAATAAACGAGAAAGGCAAAGAACTTTATTGTAACAGTTAACACTACGTTGATAGTATAAAAAACAAGTGTAATTTATTTCGCAAACTTAAAATAGTATTTAAGAAAGTTCAGTGACAATCTTGATCAATAATTCAGCAAACGAGTTGCAATTCCTGTCGTCATTCTGTGTACATAAAGATACTTAAATTAAATGGCGTAATATAAAGTTGCTTGATGTAACATCTTGACGATACTCGCGTAAGATATAAATTAATTGAAAAATTAATTAAGAAAATAACGTAATTAATCGATAGAATAATATACGAAGAAAGCGTGATTGTTCCTCTTAGGTTCAAAAACCATGGTTCAAAAAACATCGAGCTTCCTCCAGTTCTAATCCTACCATCGAATGAATCGATCAACCAGTCATAAAGTCTTCACTTATTATTTCTGATAGTGCGAGAGGATTGTTGTGTTCTGTGAAAACTGCAAAGACCATAGTGTATTTAATCATTCTGAGTTACATTTAAGTGTTAACACAGAAGAACCTTGATCCCGTTACGACGGCTCGCGATGCTTCACGCGTCCTACCGAATTCGCATCACCTATCGTCGGCATCGTGTCCGATACCTTCTGGAGTCCTCCGACAGGATCACATGGGCGTACCTGAGGACCACGAGAGTTAATTAAAATGCGAGACCTGAATGACACCGCATGCGCTGCTTTGTACAACGGCGTCGAATGGTCAAGTCTGTGGAACGTAATTACCCTAATCGTTCTGGCGATCATCGATGTTATGGTGGTGGTAGGAAATGTCCTAGTCATTCTGGCCGTCTATTGTACCAGCAAGCTGAGAAACGTGACGAATATGTTCATCGTGAGTCTGGCGGTCGCCGATCTGATGGTCGGCGTCGCTGTCCTACCGTTCAGCGCAACCTGGGAGGTCTATAAGGTAAGATCTTTTTCACTACGTTAATTGGCAGTAGAATAATGAATAGGTAGAGGAAGGTCACCAATACTAATATATCACTTTATATTTAAATATTTCTCAGAAACAGAAGCTAAAACTAAAACTTTAAAAACATAATTACAAACTAAAAAAACATAATTACAAACTAGAAAAACTGTCTACTATCAGGTAACTACTGTTTGCAATTTTGCAATAATTAACTTTTTTGTAAAATAAGTAAAAATAAGTGTCTAACAAAATGGGTCCCGCAGTAAATAATGCCACATTTTATATATATATATATATATATATAT